CTATTTTTTTTTTAAATACAATGAGTTGTAAAACCTAAAGTATTTAAATAATAAATTGTTTTGTAATAACTTTTGAAATAAATGGAGAAAGTCTTATGAGATATTCTGGTGTCCATTAAAAACCCTTTACTGTTAATAACTTGTAATTCTCTCTTTGCACCTTCACTGATTCTTTAGGATTCCCGATCAAGATAATTGAAACTGCATTCCAATAATTCCAATCAAGATAACTTAAACTCCAAGTAATCCAATAACTCTGTAATCTTGCAACTGCATTCCAATCAAAACACGCACTGTCTATTCCAATTCCTAAACAAGCAAATATTTTTTTAGAAGACGCAAATCATCTGGTTAACCTTGAAAACAAACACTGTTTTTTTAGTAATCTTGAGAAAGCATGAAAACATGTGAAAGCCAATTGGATCTTTGAGAATTCATTTCTTTTGAGAATTGCAAAAGAAAACAACCAATTGGATCTTTGAGAATTCATTTCTTTTGAGAATTGAAAAAGAAAACCCTAATTGCTGGTTTACTGCCAAAGGAGAAAATCTGTCTGATCGATTCCTGAGCCAACTTGAATATTTGAGAAACTCTAGGGTTGTGCTTTCTTATGAAAAATGGGAGGGCAAATTTTGGGGTACAACAGCTGCCCCTGTTCAATCTTCTTGAACCTGAAGAGTTAGATCGGCGAGTTTTGTCGTTCGTGACTTGAAGGTAAAAGATGATTGGACACTAGAGTGCCCATAAATTTGCGCTCGACAAAAGTGTAATTGAGGGAATGGGCTTAAAGATGCCATTTGTAGAGATGTTAGAATCTTTTTGGAGATGGGCTTGTAGATGCCATCCAAGAATGCTTGGTTGTAAATCGACAGAATAAGCATCAGAATGGTGTCCGTATTTGGAACGTATCTGAATTGTATTTGTCCTTGAATCTGAATAAGTGACAGAATGACTTTCGTGTCTGGAGTGTATATGTATTGTATCTTGAAATTGAGATTTGAATGAGTAACAGAATGACTTTCGTGTCTGGAGTGTATCCGTACTGTATCGGCACTTGGAATCTGAATGAGTAACAGAATGAACTCCGTGTCTGGAGTGTATTTGTACTGTATCGGTACTCGAAATTTGAATGAGTAACAGAATAACTTGTGTCTGGAGTGTATCTGTATTGTATCTGAAATTCGAAATCCGAATGAGTAATAGAGTAATTACCGTGGCGAGTGTATCTGTACTGTATCTGGATGAGAGATCTGAATGAGTGACAGAATGGCTTCCGTGTCTGGAGCATATCTGTACTGTATCTGAAATTGAAATCCGAATGAGTAACAGAATGACTTCCGTGTCTGGAGTGTATTTGTACTGTATCTGAAATCTTTGAATATTTGTTAAAGATAACTGTTAATCTTATCCTGAAAAGGGTAAAATGTTAGCTGAAACACAAAGTTATGTTGCATGAAATGTATGATGCAATAAATGTGTTTTATCCATGTTTATGGTGTAATGTATGCGCATGTAAGCTGATTTGCTGTATTACTGAGGAAAATAAATCCTTGACTGCTGCCGGGGAAATAAACCCTTGACTGCTACCGGGGAAAATAAATCCTTGACTGCTGAGGATTCCGCTGTGAGAGTAATGCCATATACTTCTTGAGGAATCTGCTTGGGGAATCCAGAGAATTTTAATGACTTTTACTGGGGATTACTGACGGGAGTCTTTGTTCTGTCGAGAACCAATAAAAACTTTGTGGGGAAAAAGTTTATCCTGTAGCGAAAACTCTGTGGGGAAAAGCTTATTTCGCTGGGGAGTTCAGGAGTTTGGGTTGTCTGCCACTTTACTGGGGAGTTACCCTAGGTTGAGGAGAAACAAAAGTTAACCATTATCTGGTTGATTTTCAGTCTTCAGAACAAATTGCTGGGGAAACCTGGAGAAACTGGATGATTTCCACTGTGGGTTGAAAGTTTCAGCTCCGCTGGGGATTTGTAGTCCAAGGTTTTGGCTCCGCTGGGGGTCTGTAGTCCAAAGTTTTGGCTCTGCTGGGGGATCTTAATGACGTGCTGTAGAGATTGCTCATGGAATAGCCTAAAGACGTTTTCCTAATCTTTTTACCTGTCAGTAATTGTTCTTTTTCATCATGTTTATTCGCAAATGGTAATTATGTTCAAATGCATATGTTCATTAATGAATCAATGGACGTTTTTGCAAATAAAACACAAGTGTAAAGAAAAAGACAAATAGTTTTCTGTACTTTGAAAGAGATGTCTTTGTATTTTCTTTGAATAAGTGTTTTGTACAAAGGAGACACACATCATAGTAAGAGGATGGTGTCATAAAAATGAGAAAATTTTATACAAAGAAAGATAACTATGTGTGAAAAAAATCCATGGGGTTCCCATTTTTCTATAGCCTTCGTAACTCCGAATATCCTGTCCATTCGTTGCTACGTCCGAAGATGATTGAACTGATCAGAAGCCTCAGAGTTTGTCAGTGAAGAGATTGTCCTTAAAGTGATCCGACGAGACATAGTCATACGCTTTAATTCCATAACTTTTTCCTGGACCGCCCTTTTGGGTTTTTAGTTCACCGGGAAACCCTTTTTTGCCCAAGTCGCCCTTTCAGGTTTTCAACTTGCCGGGTGTACAATTTTTTTTTGTTTTATCCCTAATTTTTTCCTGAACCGCCCTTTCGGGTTTTCGATTCACCAGGATGCCCTTTTTTTCCTAGGTGTGTCAACCTAGCGGGTCTCTTATGCGTAGTATCTTTTGACTATGTATGCGTTCGCAGGGTGCGGCAGATCGTCACTGTCCATGGTGGTTAAAATCATTACCCCACCAGAAAAGATGTTCTTGATCACAAATGGTCCTTCGTAGGTAGGCGTCCATTTTCCCCTGGGATCACTTTGTGGCAAGATGATGCGCTTGATCACAAGATCTCCAACTTGATACACTTTGCGCCTGACATTCTTGTTGAAAGCTTTGATCATCCTTTTTTGATACTTATGACCATGGAAAATAGCAGTAAGTCTCTTCTCGTCAATTAAGTTTAACTAATCAAGCCGGGTTTGGATCCAATCGTCTTCACTCAGACCTGCATCCTTCATGATTCTCAAGGAGGTAATCTAAACCTCAATAGGCAAAACAACTTCCATGCCATATACCAAAGAATAGGGTGTTGCCCCAGTTGATGTACGTGCCGTGGTACGGTACCCGTGGAGAGAAAACGGTAGCATCTCATGCCATTCCTTGTAGGTGACTATCATTTTTTGTATGATCTTTTTGATATTTTTGTTCGCAGCTTCGATAGCACCGTTCATCTTTGGCCAATAGGGAGATGAATTGTGATGTTGAATCTGGAACTGTTCGCACAAGGCGGTGATCATAGTGTTGTTAAGGTTTGTACCGTTGCCAGTGATGATCCTTTTGGGGATACCGTACCGGCAAATGAGATTCTGCTTGATGAAGCAGGCAACAACATTCTTTGTGACGGATGCGAAGGAAGCTGCTTCGACCCACTTGGTGAATGTTGTACCCCAATTTATGACCTAAGATCCTATTTTTATTTTTGCATTTTTAAAGATAAGTCAAGGTCACGAAATACAATCGGTTTTAACCTCTCACTTTCAAGCATTGACTATGCGAAGATTGTCAAGTGTTTTGAACATTTTGAGCCTATGTATCACTAATTTCTAATCGCATACAAAGGTGTATGTTCATGTTTTCTTTTGTGTCATGTGCAGAGACAGGTCTGAATCAAGAGCATCAGGTGTCGCGCCTCAATTAAGGTTTTGAGTCTCCCAAGCCAAAAGTACGATTGATTATAGATTCTCGAAGACTGATTCATCAAGGCACAACTGTTGCACCCTAAATTTCGCCCCTAATATGTTTTAGTCGCACTTTCATATCATATTTTGTTATTTGGTCACAATCACTAGTAAATATCTTCATTCATCACATTTTGCATCATTAGTCGTATTTAAGTTGACCAGAAAAAGTCAGTTTAAATCAAAGTTTGCATCGTCTTTCAGTTGTAAAATACCCGACATTTCACATCATTCATTTTTACCTGTTTACTATTTTCTTGCATTGCTCCAAGTTGTTTATATGTCGATAATAAAAATATTTTGGTTTTATAGACAAACTGTTAAAAGCGATTCAACAATGTACGAAAAATTAGCAAGAAAAATATTTCAAGTTTTCACCTTTTACCGATCATTTTATGAATCTGCACCTCGCATAGATTATGACGGTATGCTCGCTTTATTTTTTTCGATACAGTTTGAAGTCTCGTTTTTAACCGTAAAACGTCTGTTTAGCCTGGTATTTTCATTATCATTTTATTCCTATTTTTACTCTTTTTGAATATTTTTTCTTTAATCTTTGTGACATGTAGAGTATTTTAACATGTTCATTTTATTTTTTCGGATAAATTTTCGTCCGTTCTTTTTATCGTTTTCGATCACTTTGGGTCTTTATTTTTTGTTATTTAAAAAAAATTCAAAAAAATTATTTTAAATTGATTTATTTTTTATAGTTTCAGGTTTTATTTTATTTTGGTCATTCAGGGACTTTTTGGTCACAAAAAATATTAATTAGGCTTTGCTTAATTCTCATTGGTTGATAGCATGATTTGCGGATTGATAGAGATTGAATTTATATTGAACGGCTTGGATTTATTTTGAAATGATAATATTCCTTTTTTAAGCTTCTTTATCTCTTTGCAAGGGAGAGAGACAGACAACAAAAAACAAAAACTAACAGTAATATCTCTCCATTTCCATTTCCCCTTCCATCCATCACATACTCCCAATAACATACTCCATTCACCCTTACATCACCGTAATAGTATACCATCTTTCCCAAAACCTCACTTCTCCATCAGCACCTTTCTATTTATCTTCTAGCTACTCCCATTCCGTCATCTCACAGTGACCGTAACCCACAAACTCACCGCCATTACCTCCTACCCACCAAACCAATTCCCTTAATTTCTCGCAAAACATAACATGGCCCTCCGCTTCAGTTCAACCCACCTGCAAATTTCCAATCTTCACCAATTTCAGCTAATCAGAATCCTCCACAATTTAATCAGCAATTCAATCCCGATGCTTATGATGGCCGCGAGAGAACATTTGCTGGACACAGGAGGAGACCATCCCATAGAGGTGGTAAAGGTTGGCGACCATCCAAATAAAGGTTACTGTGTAAAGGTAATTACACATTGAAACAATTTCTCTGGTTGGAACATTATTGGAAGCAATACATACTTCATTTTGTTGCGATTCATGTAATGAGTTCATATTGGTCATTTGTTTTCATTAGACTTTGATTTGTATAGTCATGTACTGAAGATTTCCTCCTTGGTGGCTTGGTGGACAAATATTTTTTCACCAAGGATGAATTGTAAAAAGGAAACATGTATGAAATAATTTTTGTGCAAAAAAAAATATAAAAAAATATAAGTAAATCTTATATTTAGATTTGCTTAGTATTAATTTAGATTTTTTTAATTAGTTTAGATTTATTTTATAACTTTAAAATATTTAGAATCATAATTAATAACTTTAGAATTTTATTTGTTTTAATTTTATTTTAGTAATTTTAGAATTTTATTTCATTTAGATTTGATTTAGTAAACTTTAGAATTTTATTTGTTTTAGTTTTATTTAGTAAACTTTAGAATTTTATTTGTTTAGTTTTATTTTAGTAACTTTAGAATTTTATTTCATTTAGATTTTATTTAGTAAACTTTAGAATTTTATTTTAGTAACTTTAGGATTTTATTTGATTTGATTTAGTAAATTTTAAAATTTTATTTGTTTTAGTTTAGTTTAATAATTTTAGAATTTTACTTAATTTTATTTAGTTAACTTTAGAATCTTAGTTGTTTAGTTTTAGTTTAGTAATTTTAGAATTTTATTTGATTTAGATTTAGTTTAGTAACTTTGAATTTTTTTTTTGTTTTAGATTAGCAACCTTGGAATTTTAATTTAGTTTAGATTTAATTTACTAATTTTAAAATTTTAATTTAGTTTAGATCTAATTTAGTAATTTTAGAACTATTTTTACAACCTTAGAATTTGTAGTTAGTTTAGAATTATTTTAGTAAGAAAATCTTAATTTTTAATTTAGGTCAAATAACTTCTTTAGATAATTAGTTATACTCTCTTTTATTTGTATTTAAATATCTCTGTAATTTTAAAACCACCCCTTTTAAGTCAAAATTTCAACACTAGGTCGTCGTATCTTCAAAATCTCATCCATACCCATTTAACTAAACAAACAATTTTAACCAAAAAACAGATATTTCAAAAGGTTCCTGCGGAGTACCGTAGATACATTGGGTGCTAATACCTTCCCATTGCATAACCAACCCCCGAACTCTCAATCTCTTTTCAAAAACGCATTGTATTACTTTTTATTTTACATTGCATTTTTTAGGGTTTTATTTCGCTCTTTTCCCTTTTCCCTTGGAAATAATAAAGCGCGGTGGCGACTCTTGCTTTTGTGAGTCAAGTTAATTAATAGCTTGATCTCCGATTTTCACCGCTACAGAATTGGCGACTCTGCTGGGGAAAGATTGACCTCTTGCTGGTCCATCCCTAAGTGGGTTAAGCCTAATTTGTTTTATCTGTTTTATCATTATTTGATTGTTTGATTATATGTATATATTATGATTATTTGGGTGTTGATAATATTTACAAAGGACAAGTCCTATACCCGGACTAAGTTACACTTAGGAATAGGACGGGCGGTATAGTCATGTTAACTTTGAGGGAGTAATCCCGAAGAAGGAGGCATGAGATCCCCCACTCAGTGGAAGGCCCTTTTGAACGTAATATTTGTTTACCGAGTAATCAGGAAGACATTATTATTTTCGACCTGGGAGCCAGAGAAGCTGGGAACCGTAGAACCCTAACCCATCTTGGCCTTTTAGGTGTAGCGCAGAGATTATAACGGAGTAATCCGGAAGTAATTGTTACGCGATGCTACGCTCGGATGAGTTTCTCTTGAGAATATTGCTGATTATTGAGTAATCAAGACGTTGGTAATATCCGAAGGAGGAGTGTAGACTCCGGGAACTCTTAGAACCTTGTTCTACAGGTGTGATTAAACCGTTAGTACATACCTTGGGGGTGTTCCTTACCTTGACTCCATACTCGTGACGTTGAACCTTTCGACTTTATTTGTGACCTTGCTTGTGGTTGTTGCATAGCCATGCATTCATGCATCCATAAAACCCTTTTCACTTGACTTTGAAGGAATTTGGAGGTCTTTCTTTGTAAACATCACAAGTTTCGTCAAGCTCAATGGATCTTGGGTGTTGATAGGGCGAAAACCCTAATCCACCAAAATGGATGATTGATCTTGATGATAACTTGATCAATGTTTGGAGCCAATTTAAAATTCATCTTCTATCTTCATACTTTGATGTTTACAACTTAATATCTTGAGTTCCTTGAAAATCAAATAAAAACTCTCTTTTGCATATCATACATCATTCTACATTTTTTGTTTCACTGTCAAAGGTCTTTTTCCGAGTCTTATTTTTCCTTTGGTCTCACCAGTACAACACTCGCGCTAAGAAAACAATGGAGAATATCAAGCAAGAGGTTTCTGAACTCCGCAGAGAGATGACTATTTTGAAAGCTGGTATGGATCACTCGACTGTTTTGGGTTGAAATTTTGATTACCGCCCAAGTCAATCCTTCTAAGATAGAGGAAGCGATGATAAAAGTCTTCACTGAAACTCTAAAATCATTCTCTCATGAGAAGGTGATGGTTAATGCACCTAATGACTTTCCTGGCGAGGTGAATGTGGGAGTGCGTCTAGAAGAAGATGTTGGGAAAGGATGTTCATATCAAGATGGTAGCTCAGCTAATGGTGTGAAGAAGTTTGATAATAACTTTTCCAAGAAGAGAACCAGAGGAAGAAATAATCATCGTCAAAATCATCATGTTTCTCCTATTCATCAACAGAATCGGTAAGTTCCTAATCAGAGGAAACCCCAGTTTGATCCAATTCCAATTACCTATACAGAGTTGTTCCCTATCCTGATGCAGAGGAATTTGGTTCAGACCCGACCTCCACCGAAGGTTCCTGAGAAGATACATTGGTATTACAAAGCTGATTTGGCTTGTACCTTTCATCAAGGTGCTCCTTGGCATGACTTGGAGGGTTGCTTTGCTTTGAAGATTGAGGTTCAGAAGTTGGTCAGAAGTGGTATATTGTCATTCAAGGACGTTGGTTTTAAAGTTCAAATCAAGCATGCGCCGAAGAGTAAACACGATTGATGGTGACTTTGAAGGATGTTTTCGGTAATTCAAGTCCAGATGGAAAGCCTTCCCCGATCATTAACCTATTTCTGCTTTTTGTAATTTTTCTTGTTTATCAAAACATTGTTTGCATGTAAGAACTTGTTTACATCTGAATGATTATCTTAATACAATGAGTATGTTTGTCTTGAAGAAATTCATTCGTTTCACTCATATTTGTTTTCAAATTTTAAATTGCTTTTGCACTATGATACCAAATTGTTGCTCATTCTCTTGCCTAGGCAGAGATTGAAGGGAGGATGATGATCTAAAGAACACAAAATCTCTGGTTGCATGCTTTTGGATAAAATCTTGCTGATGATGTACAGGCATTGTTTCAAATCCCTAAACACTGGAGATATAAGGAAGATAATCCCTTGCTAACCCCTTTTGAGCCTTTGAAGCAGAAGTTTCTTTTCTATACGAAAAAACCTTGAATTTTAACCTGGGACAGGGTAGTTTTTAGTTAATCTGACTGAGTGTTCAAAATTCATAAGGAAGATGTTTTTTGAAGAGAAACTACGAAGGCTATCCTTCATGTATAATGAATCTAGAGGATGTGGAACCACAATGTTATCCCTCATTCATCAAGAAACGAGACAATCACAATCCTCTCAACAAGCAAAGACAAGCTAATGTCACACATTTTGTTCAAAAAGTCAAAAATCAAGAAAAAGAAAAAGCCTGCTAAGTCAAAAACATGAAAACTTACGACTTAGGCAAAAACTAAGGCATCCCGCTGGACTATCAATTCAAAAAAATTAGTTCAGGCAAAAATTAGGGAAAATAAAAATTGCAAAGAAAGGACTACAAAAAAAAGTCCTCAGTAAAGAACAAATTGGTGACTACAAACACGAAGACATGAGGGTGGTTTCTACTCCGAAAGCCTCGTCGTTTCCTTGACCGTCACAAAATCCTTTTGAGAGATGAACACTCATGTTGAATTAACTGAACATAGGGTTGGAGAACATCATGAAGGGGGTGGGCACCAAATATTTTGAGCCTTAAGTCCTTTTTTCTAAAACCATGAACCAGACCACATTACAACCTTCAAAAGTCCTAATTGAAGCAAGGTTATTTTGAAAGCATACTTCAATGAGATAGTGTTCCTGACTCCCATGAATGTTCTAAATAGTTATGTTGGTATCATATGTTTTTCCTATACAAAAATAAATGATGCTCTAACTCGCAAATTTGTGCGATATCTTTTCAAAATCTTCAAGACTTACATAACTGTTGCATTAGAATTTTCATTCTCATAATAAAAATTTTCTAACTGCAAAACATTTGTTTGATATCAAGGAAACTCACACATAAGCACCAATGATGAGTCAATTCTTAAGGCCTGAAACTCTGTTGAGTAATTGGCGAATTATTTCAAGAACAAAATCATATTCAGGGGAGTGTCACATGAAGACCTTAAGCACGAACATGTTGCTTCTCCCAGTTAATGCTTTTCCCGACTTGTTTGCTCGTTTGGGGCAAAAATTTGAAGACTTTGTTGTGCCAACTATAGTCAATCCGGGGCAATCACGTCGAGATTCGATGAATCTCTCTAAGAGTTTGAAGACACCAGAGCACGGTGGATGCCAGGTCTTTTGTAAAATCCTCTTGAGACGATTTCTTCTCACCAACCATATAGCTTGGGGCATTTTAAAAGTGAAGTTATTCGCAAGAATTGTCATGCATCACGCAGCTTATCAGCAGTAAACTTGGGGCATCCAAAATTAGTCCCAGGGGCAATCCAGATTTGTCAAGATATGTGATATGTATTGCACACATTATCAGAGGGTGGTGTTCCCAGTATCTCCAGCTAAGCATGACTTTTTCCAGCTGAAGCATTGTTCGTGTTGTTACCCTTTCAATGGATTGTCGACAATAGAAGACTGGACTTTGGGTTTTCTACCTGAAAATATCTTCCTCTCCAAAGAGATTTAAGCCTTGTAAAAGGACTTTGCTCCAATGATGGCTTTTGTTTTCTATCTCCAGTAATATTATCATCCTGTTGAGATTAGCCGAGTGTCGAGTTGTACTGTGATGTCTTATCATTTTCTGTCCATCTCCCCTGTCTGTTTTGTCAGCATATACATG